GCATGTTCAGTTTCAGGCTCAGACTTAAAGTCAAACTGAGGAGTGGTCCAGAAAAGTTCTTAATTTACTTATCTCATTAACCTTTCAACCTTTTCTTAATCTATTGTGCATCTATGAATGTGAACTGTAGAAATTGCATTTTGATTTTTAATTTTCAGGTCTATCTCCTTATCTTGAGTGTGACTACGTTAAGTCTTTTACTTGCACCTGCACTGTGGAGAGCTGGAATTATGAAATGTGTACCAAGGCCAGAAAGACGCTCAAGTACCTGACAAGACTTTTAATAATTTAAAAAGAAAAAAGTCTTTCCAGAGATTCTCCTCATAGTTCATTCCATCATTGTATCTCTATGCAGTTAGAAAGCAAGAGGGTTTGGAATATTTCTCTAAACATGCACTTGGTTATGAGCCTTATACTGACACTACATAAAAAAAAAATGTTTGGTATACTGATGATTGCACAGCTTTTACAAAATACACTATCATATTAGAATCTGCGAGAATAACTTTTTTGTGTTTGATCCAATCAGTTATACAGAGTAGAAAATATTTTTAAATACTGTATCATGCAAATCACCTGGAATATTTTGCCTTGATGTGCCTTTTTATTACATTGATTTGCACCTTGTACTGTTCATTCATAAAAGTGTTATTTTAAAAAAAATCAAGTTATTTTATGGTGCCTATGGTACCTTCTTAATGTAACTCTTGAGCAATTTAAGTATGTAATATTTAAGAGTTAATATGCTGGTTTTGCATCAGTCGCAAAACATTTTCAGTGATGTGTAAAGCCTAGACATTTACACAAAAATAAGGTTTAGCAGCTCTGGCATAAAGCTTTAAGTGCTAAAATGCATATCCCAAAATGATGCAGCCAGCATTATACATTTATACTCTGATTTTCATGATATTTTTTAAAACATTGTATGTATTTTATTTGTATTGTAACTTTATTTGTTCTGGTGTCTTCTATTTATTGACAATATTTCTGACCTAAAGGTTGATTTAGGGGTGACCTGACTTCTAATTTATGTTTCAAGACTAATTCCAATTGTCAGCACTTTCAATTATTGATTTACTGTTTTACTGATTGTTTATACTTTGTATTCACTGAGACCAAAATAAAAGTGTATGTATGGAAAACCTAACTCTGAGAACTTAAACTAGACATGGAAATATTTGAATTACTTACTAAAAGTTCTTGAGATTAGATGTCAGTGTTGATTGTACTTTACAAATTATTTTGGTTAAATTATTTTGAGCAACACAGGAAGTGACAACTCTGGGTATGCATTGAAAACCATTATAATTACATTGCATCAGTATTAGATCAACTTCAGTGTCTTAAACACCAATGTTTTGAATGTGTTATATGAGTCTGGATTTTTTTTTGAGTCTGTTATAGAGCAAACTTTGTAAGAGCCCTTTCTTTAAATGTCATAGAATGTAGTCTGCTCAGAGAAACTAAGGTGATTCATCTTGGGACTTTTTATCTGCTGTATCCTGTTTTTATTACACTACAAAGATGTATTTAATAACTATAAAGACATATGTACAGTAGTAACATTTTCAATCAAGTATTGTACTGTCACATGAACCTGCCATTTTTGTGAGAGTCAACTACAGAAAGATAGAAGTTGCATATGTACATTAGAATCTAACCTGCCAATTATTAAATCTACAAGAATCTACTATCTAAGCAAACAGTATTCAGATAATAAACTATGTCTTTTAATAGAAAGAAACTTTGAATCTGCTTTACCTTTTTTATTTCAGCATCGGACATTCAATTTACAAAAAAGGAATTCATCAGCCTGTTTACTTGTAAAGCAGTCAAAACAACTTACTATTTCACACTTAAATGAAGCTCTAATTTATGCCAGGATAGTGGTAGATTTTCCAAATGTCCGGTTTAAAAAAAAGGGGGGTGGGCAGGAACCCAGAATAAAAAATTAATCTGCTATGGAGAACTTTACTTTAATCTACTCAATAGCATGTGTCAAAGAAGATCCATCTTTTATTAATTTCCTTTTGAAATTAAGACATGTGAAAGAAGAGTGGTATTTTGGTCATTAGCTGACACAGATGTGTACGTGAACTATATTTGGAGAGATGTTGCTGGTCCAGATATTGAATGTAATTTGCATAAATGTGACTGACTCTTGATTCAGTCAGATGTCCTGAGAAGTTTCTCTAAGAATTTGGGAGAAAGATCCTTCCCTGTGGAGCAGTCACTGTTTTTGCCCATCTTTTGGCATTAGATACAAAGGCTTATTCTAAATCTGTATTGCAATATTTATTACTTGGAAGACCCTTCAATGCAGGATGATAGGAGATCATCACATTTATCTTTGGAACAACTGAGTTCCTGATGCATGGCAGAAGGCATTTCAGTGGTGAACGCCCTGCACTTAAATGGAATAGATAACCCATTTCTTCTCACATATCTTCTGATATGAGTGAGGCTGACGCCAAGTCTAGTGAGAGATGACACCATGAAAATAAGCTATCTCGTGCACAATTCTGTCAGGCTTCCATAGCCTGAACTTGAGCGACCTATTCTCTTTTGAAAATACACTTGAAAGAAAATTAGACAGCAGAGCATAAGAAAAGCACTGACCAATACTACTACCATGAAGAAAAGCCAGATTAAAGTGCAGGGGTAAATGCTGTAGTATTGAAGGAAAAAGATACCCAGTGGTATATATATCTGAAGGCAGTCATTAACCCCCCAGAATGTGCTGGAACACATGTGGGGGTTGTAAACAAGGGTTGTCTATGCACTCTTACACCAGCAAGGGGAAAAACAAGTGCTGTGCCTTTTAATTTAATCATTTCAGTAGCACTTTAAACCAGGGGTAGGCAACCCCCAGCACAGGTGCCAGAGCATGGCACAAGAAGGCATTTTGCTTGGTACATGTGGCCTTGGAGCATATGGCAGGGAAGGGACCGGGGCTGTGCTGCCACAAGGATCAGGGCCCTTGCGGCTCCTCTGCCGTTCACCCTGGCACATCAATGCTTTACAAGATGAGGTTGTGGCTGTTTTTGGCACTCTGTGAAAAAACATTGCTGGTTCCTGCTTGAGACAGGCAGTAAGTAGCCTGGAAGGTCTGACGATGATGGTGAGACAGGAGGCAGTCTTTATGAAGAAAAGGTAGGCTCCAGATGAGGTGTTTTTCTTGTCTCAAGCTGCAACTCGCGTCTAGGTAGTCAGTGTGGCCTGCTCACCTGGAACCCACCATGCTTCAGGGAAAAGACTGCTTTGCTGCCGAACTGGGCCTTCAAGGTCAGAAAGCTGCGGTACAAGTTAAAATGTAAAAAACTAGAACTCTTGGTTACAAAATAATACCTTTTATTAGACCAACTGAGAAATTGCAAAGAATTTCTTTTTCTGCAAGCTTTCGGGCTTATGTGGTACAAGTTTGCTTTCCCCCCGCTCTTCTGTCCCTAACTAACCTTCCTTCAGAGGTGGGGGGGGGTGGAAACAAGGGGGTACAGCATTTAGCAGAAGGCTCATTACCCCTCTGATCCTCAAAAGCACATGGACAAATTGGAGACGGTCTGAAGAAGGGCAACAGGGCTGATTAGCACTATGGAGGGGCTTCCACAGGAGGAGAGACTAAAAAGGCTAGGCCTGTTTAGTTTAAAAAAGGGATGCTTAAGGAGGAACATGACAAGGGTTTACAAAATACTAAAAGGTGAAGAGAAAGTAAATAGGGAGTTATTTCTGTCACAACAAGAATTAGGGGTCACAAAATGAAATTAGTTAACATGAGGCAGTTCTTTTTCAAGCCACATGTCAAGGATGTGGATAAATTGGAGAGTCCAGCAGAGGGCAATGGAAATGGTTCAGGGTCAGGGCTAAGGGAACTGGGCTTATTTAGCCTAGAAAAGAGAAGACTGAAGCAGCCTTCAACTACCCGAAGCGGGGTTTGAAAGAGGATGGAGCTAGACTGTTCTCAGTGGTGTCAGATGACAGAACAAGGAGCAACGGTCTCAAGTTGCAGCAAGGGAGGTTTAGGTTAGATATTAGGAAGAATTTTCTCACTAGACAGGTAGTAAAGTAGTACAACAGGTTACCCAGAGAGGTTGTAGACTCTCCGTCCTTGAAGGTTTTTAAGACCCATCTAGACAAAGCCTTGGTTGGGATGATCTGGTTGGGGTGGTTCTGCTTAAGTAAAGGGTTGGACTAGATGCCCTCCTGAAGTCCCTTTCAACCCTAATTTTCTCTGATTCTATGATACGCACTTTTAAGCAGTACTTGTAGGTAGGTACCAAGTACAAACTATGCATAAAAATTCTCCATATCAGGTAGTTGAAGGCTGCTCTCAAATCCTGCTTCAGTCTTCTCTTCTCCAGACTAAATAAACCCGGTTCCCTAAGCCTCTCCACAGAAGTCGTGTGCCCCAGCCCCCAATCCATTTTCGTCTCTGCTGGGCTTTTCAATTTATCCACATCTTTGACAGAGGCTTGAAAAAGAACTGCCTTGTGTTAACTTGTTCCATGCTGTGACTCCTAAGTCTTGAGCTGAGCATTTAGGATTTCAGGAGGGATGGGGCAGCGGAAGCTAGCGAGCAGGGGACTGAGGAGTATCCTGGGTCTGGTAGCTTTAACTGATACAGGAGACTGCAGAAAATCCTGGCCACAGCCAGACCCTCTCTCTGCCACGGGGCAAGATGGGTCTCGGCTCCGCCAACCAGCCCGTGGCAGCTTTTCTGAGGTCTGGTGCTGACAGCAAGGCAGCCACCCCTTGCTTAAAAGAACCTCCATGCGAGTGGGAGAGAGGAGAAAGGCAGTGCTGGAGCGGCCCCTAGTAGGGTGCGGGCCGTCCTGGGGGCGGGGCGCTGCTCTCCCGCCCCGCCCCTCGCGTGAGCCCACGTGCCGCATCCAACGGCCTCCCGCCGCGCCGCTCTCGCGCCCATGCTTCCCGCGCGCCCGCCGCGGGGGGCGGGGCGAGGGAGGAAGATTCGGAAGGCGCGAAAAGCTCGCGCATGCGCGCTCCCCTCCCCCTCCCCACGTCAGGGGCGGAGGATGCCCCGGGCTCCCCGCGTGTGGCCGGGCGAGGCACGTTCTCCCCCGTGACGTCAGCGCGCAGCGTCACGCCGGGGGGACGCACAAAAGTGTAAGTTTCAATTTTTTTTTTTTTTT